CCATTTTTCAAAGATTGAAGTGTTGGAGAGAAGTGATCACACAACATTTTGTGACCAAGACTATTTTTTTCTCAATTGAAATCAAATTGAAACAGACTCAAAAATGAAGAAAAATAATAATAAAAGATGGGCAAAAATATGTAAGGAACAGCGATGGAATTATTGTTTAGCTGTGTAATCTTTGCTTAACCTTGAAAGGCTCTTATAATCTAACTAGAGGCCCGGTGCACAAAAATTTGTGCACTTGGGGGGGGGGTCCCTCAGCCCAGCCTATGCCCTCTTGCAGTCTGGGACCCCTCAGAGGATGTCCACCTGCTGGCTTAGGCCTGCTCCCTGGGGGATCGGACCCAAGCTGGCAGTCAGACATCCCTCTGGCAGCCCGGCAGCCCTCAGGGGATGTCCACTTGCCAGCGGGGAGCAGGCCTAAGCTGCAGTCAGACATCCTCAGCACTGTGGCGGGAGAGGCTCCCACCACCACCACTGTACTGGCAGCCGTCAGCCTGGCTTGTGGCTGAGCAGAGCTCCCCCTGTGGGAGTGCACTGACCACCAGGGGGCAGCTCCTGCATTGAGCGTCTGCCTCCTGGTGGTCAGTGTGTGTCACAGTGACGACTCATTCCCAGTCGTTCTGCTGTTAGGATCAGTTTGAATATCACCCTTTTATTATATAGGATAGAGGCCTGGTGCATGGGTGGGGGCCAGCTGGTTTGCCCTGAAGGGTGTCCTGGATCAGGGTGGGGGGTCCCACTGGGGTGCCTGGCCAGCCTGGGTGAGGGGCTGATGGCTGTTTGCAGGCTGGTCAAGCCCCCCCCCTCCAGTGGGGACCCTCACCCCATGGAGGTTTAGCCAGCCTGGGTGAGGGGCTGATGGCTGTTTTCAGGCTGGCCACACCCCCTTTAGGGTGGGGGGTCCCCACTGGGGTGCCTGGCCAGTATGGGTGAGGGGCTGAGGGCCGTTTTCAGGCTGGCCAAGCCCCCTGGAGACGGAAGCTCCCAGCCTCTCTTCTTTTTCTTTTTTTTCTGGGAGTTATTTACCTTCTATAATTGAAACTTTGTTGCTTTGAGTGGAGCTCAGAGCTGGCCGCGGCAGCTGGGAAGCTTGGCTTCCTCCATCATTGGGGCAACCAAGCCTCCTGCTTGCTCCAGCTCTGTGGCTGCCGGCCGCCATCTTGGTTGGGTTAATTTGCATATAGTCGCTCTGATTGGCTGGTGCTTAAGGTGTAGCAAAGGTACGGTCAATTTGCATGTTTGTCTTTTATTAGTGTAGATACTGTGACTGGGTGTACATAATGTTGTGGTTGAGAGTACTGGCTGGGAGTCAGACTGCCAGGGGTTGAAGCTCAGCCCGGCCCCTCACTAGATGTGTGATACTTACTATGGGTGTGACTGTGATGCTGGGCAATTTCTTTCTGTCTCAGTTTTCCTCATCTGTAAAATGGGAATAATAAATATGCTTATTTTAGAGGGCTATGGTTAGGATTACAGATAAAATAAATGTTAGATATTAAGAAAAGTTAGCTGTTATCAATATATTTCAAATTTTCTACATAGTAGGAGACAAAAGCTCCAGCCTGCCCTAATTTGTTCTTCTTAGACTGTAGCTGGTTGGCCAGTGTTTCCACTCCACCCTCTCCCTCCTATAGTGGGTGTGCACAGCTCACTTTTAAGCTGCCCCACCAAGTTTAACAGCTACTGGATTAGAGCCTCCGTCCTCCTTCAAACCTGTTTATTTTTACTTAAAAAGTCCACCAACGCTTACGCCTTTTTTGGCCATTAATATACAAGTTCATTGATGTTTCTAGCTGATTTATAGTTGGATTAGTCTTCTCTGGATTACGTCTAATTTTTGGCCATTCAGTTGATGCTCAGTTAAAATGCAGGGAATTCTTGACATTTAGAATTTGCGAGGACACAGAAAGGCAAACTAGAGACAAGAATTACACAGCATCCTGCAAAAGAATGGATGAGGAGAAAGGAGGACCAACACAATGCTCCAAGATATAGATGGTCTGCTAGTTACTACAATAGGCTGGTGTCATTTCATCATTGCAGTGACAATTTGAAAATAAACTGAAAGGCCTCTCGCATGGTTCCCACCAGAACGTTATTTTGATTGCATCCTTTGTCTATGTGAATGCAGTTTTCCCAAAATCATTTGACTGTTTATATGGAATTCCGCAAATAAGCCAGTGAGGCAGCAATAAACCAGCAAAGGTTTTTAGAAACATCCCCAATAATCCCTCTACTTCTGACTGGGGGACTCCGCAGTGATGCTGGCAAGTAAAAGAGAAGGAGTGGGATACTGTTGGGCCAGTATTAGATAGAGCAGCAAAATCTATAATCGAGCAAGTTAAGGCAGCCTGAACACTCACAAATAACCTGTGAGTGTTTAAGCTCACTTATGACTTGTATTTCCTTTGGAGGACAATTTTAAAGATGAGCAAGACTTTGAACTGATCAAGATACTTACATTAGGCTCTTCCATATCTCATGATATATGAGATATGATATATATGGATATATATCCAAAGGTAAAAGTTAGATTTAAGAATGCTTTTCACATGAATATACCAAAGAGACATTATCAGCCATGGAATTAAATATTTGCATACAAAATAAGGTCTGGATGCATAGAATTCTGTGCTCAGCAGACGAAGAGTGAAAGATTGCTGTTATTAATGGTTTTTCATTTACAGCCCTGTCAAAATTATGTGAAAATATGTCTTTATCAAAAACCATTCTAAAGAATCATTTCTACAAAGTGTGTGTGTGTGTGTGTGTGTGTGTGTGTGTGTGTGTGTGTAGGAGGCTGTTCATACGGGTTAGCTCAAAGCTTTTTGGAGCAGTCTAATGAACTGAGTTTTATGTAAGTGGCAGGCTACCACCAGAAAGACTTCCGACTGATTTCTCGCAGCAGGACTGGGATTAAAAATACATCTGACAACAGGCTTCAAAGAAAGGAAAAATCCACTCGCAATAAAAAGGCCATCAAGCTTTAATTGTAAGAACTTCTCTGACTCCGAGAATCTTTTCTTTCTACCAATAAAACCACTTATACTCATGGTTTAATGTCCTAATTTAAGAAATGGACAACACTGCCCGGCTGGCATGGTTCAGTGGTTGAGTATCGACCTATGAACCAGGAGGTCATGGTTTGATTCCCAGTCAGGGCACATGCCTGGGTTTTGGGCTCGATCCCCAGTGTGGGACGTGCAGGAAGCAGCCAATCAATGATTCTCTCTCATCACTGATGTTTCTCTCTCTCTCCCTCTCCCTTCCTCTCTGAAATCAATAAAAATGTATTTTAAAAAGAGAAATGGATGACACTAAATTAATTTCTAATTTATATCCCACTTCTCTGCCTGTTTTCATTGTCTCGCTAATGCAAACTGCACTGAACAATACAAACCATTTCTCATTTCTACCACACAACCTCATCAACCAGAAAGGTGGTGATGCAGTCTTATTTTAAAGCCAAATGAGTTATAAACATTGGTAATGTTCCGCTAAGCATTAAAAACTGTTCTTTAAGTTTCTTTGAAAGTAGCATTATTAAGTCAGAGCACAATCACTGAAGGAAAAAAGAAACAAATGAAATACTTTACTGTTTCAGTTAATTTTAGTGGAAAATAGAACAAGAATTGGATTTTCATTCAGGATTACAATGGTCCATAAAGTATACAGGCTCTTGGTCGAATGTCAATTCTCTCCTCATTGAGGAAATATCTGAGGCTGTATTCCTGGGTCAACTTATTTCTGCTTTTCTTAGATCTCTAGTCCCGTCCTAGTTATATCTACGTTTCAGGATCCATGACATGGATTTAAACAGACCCATGGTTAAATCTAAACAGAGGCAGTGACCACACAACGCCCAATCTACGGGCTTGTCTGTAAGGTGGCAGGAATTCAACCTTTGATGAATAGGACTTGATTCTGCCTAAATGTCTACTATAACTAACAGAATGGTCACTTTCAAAAGGATAAATACTTGGGTATTATTTTCAAAAGTTCAACACCTGATCTCCCACCAAGGCCAAATATCTTACCCCTTAACAGTCTTTTGTACTGAGAGCCAAAAGAGAGCTTCACCCAGATCCTCATTTCCTAAATATCCTTTCAGTCCAAAGATCATCATTCCCGGTCGGTGGTTCCCAACATGGGCCACACGCCCCACAGGGGGGCAATTTGAGAATGAGTTATTAACAGTGAATTTTTTGCATTTCTTATGGTTCTAGGGGCCTCATGTACAGTATATAAATACACACTGTGACATATTTATGCATTTCAGTTCTCTATTATGTTTTGAAACTTTATTTGCTATTTTTATATCACTTCATTTTATTATTTTTAAAACAATTTCTTAGTGATTTCTTCCTCAGTACTTCAACTATCCTTTTGTTCTTTTATTTTTCTCTTTCATGGATGCCATGTTCTTTGGAACTTAGACCAAGTTCATGGCCTTTTAGGCTTCCTCCATGTGAAGAGGAGTTCACTTTTTGAGTAATAAGAATTATATGCCACAGGGGGGCATCAGGATTTTAGAGATGCTTAGGTGGGGCATGCCAAAAAAAGGTGGGAACCACTGTTCTAGGTGAAAACTCCTCCTTGGTCAATCTTGGTCTTATCACAACTGGATATTCCTGGCCTAATAAGGTCAGAAAAATACCAACTACAAATACCCACAGACACTCTGTGCCTTTAAAAACTTCTGAGTGACACTGATAACCTTGTTATCTACTTAGCTTGAAGTGAGATTGCTTATCGTTTTGAAAAGTCCAGTAACACTTCTTTTCTCTCTCTACTGTTTCTCACCTTTCTGAAGACTTTAAGTCGAAGCAAGGCCTTGGCAACAAAATAATTTATCACCAGGTTCGATTTCCATCTGTGCAATGGAACAGGTTTACCTGTTATCTGGCACACAGATCTAAAATATAATCTGAGAAACAGAATTACCCCCTAACTTTATAAAAATGCCGTTTTTAGAAGGTATACTTACAAACAGGATCTTTTAAAATCAGTTTATAAGACTGAAAAACTATACACATGTAGTCTCATAATAATTTCATCTTTCAGGGGGGAAAAACCCCAAACTGTACTGAAGCTCACTGCACGCTGCTTCTTCAGATCTCTTCCATCAACACTGAATCACAAATACCCTTCGCCAAATGCTTCAGATGCCCGGCTCTGTGTTTACGCAGATTCAAAAGATGACCTTCCATAGTCTCTACAGACCAGAGCATGCATGGGTTAAAAAATAATGGAAGTGGATGCAAAGTCAGGTAGCCATCCCAACGCCGGGGACAGGAGCGTGGCGCATCTCCGGAGGAGCTGTCTGAGATGAGCCAGTCAATCACAGGTCTCCTTTTTCTCGGCAATGATGCACCAGTTGCCATGGTCGTTCCCAGAGCTCAGGATATGGAGCTCTGACACGTTTTCCCTCAGCAGGCCACAGAGCTCGCCTTCGCGAAACACGTGGTAGTAGCGCATAAAGGCCCTGGAATCCAAAACGTCGGGCTGTTGTCCTTCGACAGGAATTGTGTCATCTGGGATGGAATCTGTGGAATCAACCGTAGAAATCCTCCTCAGTGATCTACGAGCAGAAGGCTTCCCTTCTCCTAAGGCACCCGCAGCCGCACACTCCTCAGGAGTATGGGTGCTACCCAGACAATCCCCACCGCCATTCCTCCCAGTTTCTCCGTGATGGTCTCCACGGAGATGTTTCGCGGTGGCTGGTGCTCTCAGCCACTCCAAATGCTTCTGAGAAGTTTCCACAAACACGTCCTCGTCTGAACTTGGCTCTCTTGTTGAAAATGGCTCTTGGGGATCCCTGTCTAAACTAGAGTGTCTGGAAGGCTGGATGGAGATAGTGCTGGTGGCCCAACCTTCTGTGTTTTTCAAGGGTCTCACTCTTTCAATTTGCTTCCTCAGACTTGACTCATCCAAAGATCTGGAGCAAAACCAGGAGCGAAAAGATTTTCCTAATGTGTGATAGAACCCATTTTCTTCCCCAGCTTCCTTCGAAATGTTTGCACAACAAGTCCTGGCCCTGACAGGTTCATAGTCCACGCTGTGGGACCGTTTTGAGTCCCGTCGCTCCTTAAAACAAACAGAGCAGCTACACACGGAGCAAGGAGGGTGGTAGGGGTGGCTTCTCTCTAGATGTCCACACTGCTTCTTTCTCCCAGGCTGGCTGGATTCACAGAGGAGCCGGGAGCATAAGGCCCTGTTCCACGGAACCAGCACATCCTGCTTCTCAAAGTGCCGGTTCTTTTGTTCCATGGCCCAAACGTAAATCATCAGCTGGCCTCCGGGAACCAAGACGCGGGCCATTTCCTTTATTGCTCGGATTCTTCTTTGTTTTGTAGAAAAATGATGTATAACTGGAAAAAGAAGAAACTAGATCTCAACGTGTATGTACATACTAAACCTACACATTCATGTATTAGTATTTTCCATGTAACAGGGATGCAATTTTGACATGTACTAAAATCTCCGTATTTCTACAGGGCAGGGTACGTGGTAGAAATAGCACAGGCATGGCTCTGGGAGAGACATAACTGCTAGCGTCGACTCTTGTAATTAGTAGACAACTGATCTTGGGAAATTATTTAACTTATATGGGTTTTAAGTCTCTTCATCTATGACACCTCGAATGAATAATGTGTAAAATCTCTTTCAGTTCCCAAATCCTATGAATTGTGTTAACTAGAGAGTGAACAATGTGAATTGATAAAATCTGCAAGGAAGCACTAAGTTAGGTAAGTGCTACCAGTAGAATTCTATGAAGTAATTCATTACTTTAATGAATGATTGGTACTTCTAAAGCTCTGAAGGATTAATACCACTAATCAGTGTTAATAAATCAAATAGGAGTGGAGAAAAATGCTAAAGATGTTTTTCTACTTAGATAATGCCAAGATAGCCAGTCAAGCTCAAGTCCAAATGATTGCTTATCATTTTTAAGAATGTTAATGTAATATAAAATGGTTGAATATATATATTTTTTAAAGTTAACTTCTAGGTCATCATTTTTACTTTCAATCCCTGCAAAGTTAAAGTGAGAGTCAAGCAGGACTGCCTTTATATCATCATAAACATGTTATTAGACGACATTTTATAAAAAACATATAGCGCCCTGGCCGGTGTGGCTCAGTTGGGTGTCATCCTGTGCACTGAAAGGTGGCCGGTTCCATCATGGTCAGGGCACAGGCTGTGTTTCCACTTAAGGGAACACTTCTCACCAGAATCTGACCTCTCTCAGATTCTAGGTCTTTACAAATGTCCCCATTTTGAACTTAACAGTTTCAACTTCGAAGAAGCAGGACTATTACACAGCAGGTTTCCATGGCAACCATCTCCTGCCGGTCCTAACTAGTTCCAAGGTTACGGCATCCAGGCCTCAATATACAAAGATACAGTCTCCATCTAATGTTGAATAAATTCACTTCTCATCTATTCAGGAGAGAGCAAACCATTTTATGCTGAGTTTTTATCTGGTCAGTCAATTTTATATAGGTTCCCTTTGCTTTAATAAAGCTTAGTATATTCAAATAGATTAATTTTTAAAGTGTTTTGGAACAAATAGTTTGCTTTGCCAAAGAAGTTGCCATGAGATCAGCAAGGGCACCAAGCATATTTAAATATGACTAACCTACCAGGTTTCAGGACTATGTGTTTTGAGTAAAATGAGCCTGTGTAAATTTCAGGCAAGGATTTTTGCTGTGTCTTGTGTTTTTTTTTAAGTTGTGGCATGTGTATTTATGGGCACACTTGCTGGGAGGATATGAGAAACATACTCCCTAGATTTATGAGCAATCTCTGGCAGTTCGAGCTGAGTGGCATTATAAAAACAATGCAATCTGGGACCAGGTGGGGCTGTCTTCCCCCGGGACTTGCCTACCAGCAAGTGGCAGATTGGATGACACATCCTTCCAGGTGGCATTCGTCCTATAATATTCTGCTACTAAAGAGCACACTTATGGCCTAAAATAGGTCATATGACTTTGAAATGTCCACCTCACGCTGGGAGTTCTGGCTACACTGCAATATAACAAAGTACTGTTCTCAATGAGTAAAATTCCTCTACTGCTTCCTTACTCATAAGCAAAAGAAACTGGAATGAGTCCTCAAAAAGAATAAAATAACAGTTGGAAAGTTTAACTAGTTAAAATAATTATATGTCCCACCATAAGTACATTTGAGATTAGTCAAATAATTCAATCAGTTGATATATTTTTAAAAATTAGATAAAATGAACTACATAGACCAGCGGTTCTCAACCTGTGGGTCGCGACCCCTTTGGTGGTCGAATGACCCTTTCACAGGGGTCGCCTAAGACCATCCTGCATATCAGATATTTACATTACTATTCATAACAGTAGCAACATTACAGTTATGAAGTAGCAACGAAAATAATCTTATGGTTGGGTCACAACATGAGGAACTGTATTTAAAGGGCCAGAAGGTTGAGAACCACTGACATAGACCCTTCCACAAAGAATGGATGTTGGGTTGTAAGAATGGCCTCAACCACGCAACATGATTCTCATGGCAAAGAGGGAACGTGTAACCAGGCTGCCTTACCTCCTATGGAGATGATGGCATCGAAGCCCTGATCCCTAAAGGGGAGATTAAGGTTGTCACATACCATGACTTCACATCCCCTACTCCGGGCAATCTCTACCAACGGCCCACAATAGTCACAGCCCAGGGTATGTACCTGGCTATTCACTTTAAGGTACTTTCCAGTCCCACAACCTATAAGAGAAAAACTGTGTTACATGCTTAAAGGAGAATGGAACAATGTCGGTCAGCTTGTCTTATAACAAGAACAGAAATAGCTTTGTATTAACTAAGTGACACAGAATACAGCATGGTGTGAAGGTAAACACAGAAGCAAAAGCAAAGCCTTCAGACAGTTCTTACATATTTTCAGATAGAATAGAAGAGGGAAAAGGGATTGGAAAACCTAAATAATACTTATTAAATATTTAGCGAGGTAATGTCCAGAGGGCGCAGCATGCTAGCACAGTTGTTGGCTGGCCCATGGAAGAAATGATTGGTCCCTAGCATCCCAGGGACAGTGTCCAGTCCCTTTACAAAAGTTGCCTTCACATCCATATTTCATTATGTACAGATCCATATATTCTGGCCTTTATTCTCCTGCCATCTCTCTAGACAGACAGGCTGCTTACTGGTTACTTAAAACAAACTACTGCCCACAACTTTTAAATGGCTATAAAGAAAACGGGCTTTTCAAAATTTTAATTTGAATGAAAAAAAGATTTCAACAGTTTTTCACCCACCCTATCGTCAGTGCTCGGTTTCACATGACTCAGTATACAACCTAAGAAAGAACTATTCTTTTCTTAAATAGACCATTTTTGACATTCACTTTCTGATGGCAGAGACCCAAGTCATTCAACATTGACACAGCCCAGAGATTTAGGTCAATCAGATCTCAGTGATATTACAGGGAAGAAGATGGCGCCGTGAATGAATCACCACCCTGAAACAAAGCCTTCCAAATCTAGTACCTGGTATATTCTAGTACAGACACCTCATCTAATTCCTTTTCAGAAATATTTAAAGATATCAACAGAGCTGATGATATTTGTACCTTCTGGAATTACCTGTAGATTTTTGTCTCATATTTTTCTAAAATATAACCACTATTCAAAGATGATTAATTTGCAGCTTCTGAAATACTTTTTAAAAATATTATTTTTATTGATTTCAGAGAAGAAGGGAGAGGAAGAGAGAGATAGAAACATCAATAATAAGAGAGAATCATTGATCGGTTGCCACCTGCACGCCCCACTGAGGATCGAGCCTGCAACCCGGGCATGTGGCCTGACCGTGAATGGATCTGTGACCTCCTGGTTCATAGATCGATGTTCAACCACTGAGGCATGCCGGCAGGGCTGTCACACTTTTTAAATAACTCCTCCTTGATAGGAGCTGTTCAAAATTACATGAGACACCACAAGCATAATTAAGGTTTGCTGATGCCAGGTGAGACAGTGGAGGGCTTATGAATAAAAAATAATATTTCCAATGTTATTATTTCCATGTAAATGGTTGAGGTCTTATAAATATTTCAGATCTCATGGCCACTGTTCCTAAGAATGCTTGTGAGAAAAAGTATCCAATATTTAAGAGCAATCATGGGGAAAATATAATCCACAGAGTGTTTTAAAACTGAAATCCTGATAACAAAGATGATGGTCATGTTTTTTAAAAGAATCTTGTTTTTTTATTGTGTGTTTTTTTTATTGGCTCAGGGGCTACATTTAGAGAAATGAAAGGAAAATTACTTCAAAAATACTAATAAAAACAGATTTATAGATGATTAGTGCTAGAAGGAACTGTTCAGAGAGCATCTGGTAATAACGAGGAAACTGAAGTCTTTTAAAAATCTCAGCATCTCCTAAAAACTTCCCAGCATGACTCATCCCAAATTCATTTCTAATGGTATTCATGTTTAAGGATAGCAGTGGAGATCCCAAATCTGATGTAGTTATCCATTTTCTAAGTGCACACACGGAGATGCTAGAGAGGGAAGGTTTTATCCTAATAAGGAAAGCCAGAACACAGCCACGCCTAGTCACCCCACTATTGTAAATGTGCAAGAAATAAATCAGAAGATCTTCGGTGCTGCAGCAAGCACGGGTACACAACAACCAGGTCCTTTGCAAAGTCTCATTAAATGCTGACCTTTCGTAGGATTGAAGAGAGACCAGAAAGTGTCTGCATGCTTCCATTTCCCTCTACTTTGTATTCTGCACCACACACATTTTGTGCATTTCCGTACTTTTTGGTGGTGATTTCACTGTTTAAAATTCAGCATCGTGCTGAAGTGCTGCCTACAGTTTCTAAGTGCAGGAAGGCTGAGACGGGCCTTATGGACAAAATACATTTTGTCCAGGCATCAGGTATAGTTGTTGCCTGTGAGTTCACCGTTAAGAAATCTATACTAACAATAGAGGATTATGCAAATTTTCCGGGACGCCATCACAGTAACAGTAACGACTGAACAGCAGGCTGTGTGGGGCGACCAGGCTGGCAGGGGGGTTAGTGAAGGATGACCAAACGACTGAACAACAGGCTGCGTGGGGCAACCAGGCCAGCAGGGGGACAGTTGGGGGCGACCAGGCCAGCAGGCAGAGGTGGTTAGGGGTGATCAGGCTGGCAAAGGGGGCAGTTAGGAGTGACCAGGCAGGCAGGAGAGAAGTTAGGAGTCAGTGGTCCCGGATTGTGAGAGGGATGTCCAATTGCTGGTTTAGGCCCGATCACGGTTTAGTCAGACAGGGTCCCGGATTGGAGAGGGTGCAGGCTGGGCTAAGGGGACCTCTACCCTCCCACCCCCCCCATGCACGATTTTTGTGCACCGGGCCTCTAGTCAATAATAAACAGACACACATGGAACCAGGTTAGGTATTTACCAGTTGACAAAAATGTGACCAGAGGTTCACAGGAACTGAATCCTATACTTCCCCTAAGGGTTATCATGCAGGATTCACTAATTCAGTGTCCTTGGCAACTTTATAGAACATAAATACTGTGAAAAATGACAATCAATTGTATTTTTTTAATGCTTTCTGACTTTTTAAAAAATATCATACAGAGAAAGGCCTTTTGCCTCTGAGAGTATTTTTTATTTTATTTATTTTTTAAATCCTCACCCGAGGATATTTTTCCATTGATTTTAGAGAGAGTGGAAGAAAGACGGAACAACAGAGAGAAATAGTGATGTGAAAGAAACACACCAATTGGTTGCTTCCTGGTCTGGGGAGGAGCCTGCAATCGGAATTGAACCCAAGACCCTTTGGTCCACAGGCTGACGCTCTATCCACTAAGCCAAACCGGCTAGGGCTATTTTATCTTTTAAAATTATTCTTTTATTATTTTTTATTTTATTATTTTAAAATAATCTAGTTGTTCCCTAGTCCTTTAATGATTTCATTTTCTTATACTTCCATCGATACTTCATTTGGAATTTCTGATGTAAGGTATGAGAAAGAAAGTAGCATATGCACATGCTGTGGTCCTAAAGCCACGTGTTGAATAGTTCCTTTTCCTACCAGCTGATTTTAAGATCCTGGTACTGTGCTTAGACTATGAATGTTAAGAGTTCCAAAGTCACTGTATCTTCTGAAACAAGATTTATTTAAAACAAACAAACAAACACTGACATGATAGAGATATTATCAAAGACTCTCTATTTCTACATGACATGCACCCCTTCCCCAAATTCCACACTGCTCGCACCATCTTTAACAAGTCAAAAGCCCTGGCCAGGCACATGTGTTTCTCTTACCAGCACTTAGAGTGAATGTCAAATTAGGCCGAGTGTGTAAGTACAGACTTAGGACTCCATGGGTGTAATCTTCATGCAGTTGTTAGCACTTGGAGTGCGGGTGAATTTCCCGCCAAAATATAAGATGGCTCTGTCTTTTGGTTTTGTTCCATCCACCAAAAGGGTGGATTACAAACAAATATTTGGTAATACGCAGTTACAATCGGCCCGAGTTTACACGTTTCCCGCACTCCACCGCAAATCTATATGAACCGAGTTAAAGACGGCTCCCGCGGAGTACGCGCAATTCACGCGAGCCGACTTAACTCGTTTCCCGCACTCCAAGTGTTAAAAAGCAGTTTTAGGCGGGCAGGCCTCAAATGGGGATCCCAGACCTTAATCTTAGATCTACCAGGCTGTGGTTTACCACTCAATTCAGAAACATCCTTAGCCAAAATCTGCCAGGCAAGTCTGTGATTACAAAGACATGATCTATTTAAAGACAGGCTCTAATAATGAAACACCCACAGAATAGTTCAGGGGGAAAAAAATCCATGTACTAAGAGGTTACAGGAACTCTATGATCTCTGGATCTTCTGTGGAAGGCATGAGAGCCACTGGAGGTGAGCCACCGGAACCCACTAACATCTCTAAAAGTTACAACAGTCAGCTTCCCAAGCAGTCATTTCAATCCTGATTTATTCAACCGACGTCAGGTCGATTTTGTTGGAGGATGAGCCCCAAAACGCTGAAAAGATCGCCACTGTCTAAATGTAAGTTTGAGGAAGCTTCCTACTTGGTGACTTGATTGTATGAATTTCTGCTATAAAGTGAATGGGCTGCCCTGGGGTGTGGCCCAGTGGTTGAGCCTAGACCAGTGGTCAGCAAACTCATTAGTCAACAGAGCCAAATATCAACAGTACAACGGTTGAAATTTCTTTTGAGAGCCACATTTTTTAAACTGAAACTATATAGGTAGGTACATTGTTATGAACTTAATTAGGGTACTCCTAAGCTGGCCTTTGCTAAAAACGTCCTCAATCTGATTGAGGTACATTCACTGAGGTTGACCCCTTCCAACTCTCCCATCCACACTCGTCTTGTATACTTGTTTCGTCTATCTCCTTTCGGTCATCCTCTCTATATGTCCAAACCATCTCAACATACCTTTCTCAATCCTCGACACTACATCTTCTTTCACTCCACAACGTTCCCTAAAATTAACTTAATAAACTTTACTTAAAGTTTTAAGTCAACTTTGCACTGTACGTGCGTGCCCACATGTGGTATTTTGTGGAAGAGCCACACTCCAGGGGCCAAAGAGCCGCATGTGGCTCTCGAGCCGCGGTTCGCCGACCACTGGCCTAGACCTATCCCGGTCAGAGCACATGCCCCGGTTGCCAGCTGGATGCCCAGTGTGGGGCATACAGGAGGCAGCCGATCAATATTTCTCTCTCTCCTTCTCCCTTCCTCTCTGAAATCAATAAAAGTATATTAAAAAAATAAAATGAATGAGCTGGGTTACAGGCATGCCAAGGGCACAATTTCAGACTTCCGGTTCGCACAGCAAGGAACACTGACTGAAAAGAAAGACACGATGGGATCTATTTCTCACCACGCGCCCCGCCCTGCGTTACCTATGTCGGCGATGAGGCTGCCGGGCTCCTGGTCCTGGAGGAACTGGCGGACGCGGGGCCAGGCTTTGCCCTGCAGGTCGCTGAGGTACCGGGCGGTGCTCTCATACACGTCGTGCACGTGCTGCTTCTCCAGCTGGGCCGCCTCATGGTCCATCCTGGGGAAACAGGGCCACCCCGAGAAAGGCCGGTCAGAGGCAGCTGAAGGAGGAGGCACGTGTCCTAAACCTGGGAACCTACTGCTGCCCAAGGCTGTGCTGATCTTCACTAGAAGCTGCAAAGAGTAAAGCCTTCACCACAGCTGTCAAAAGACTCAAAAATGCATCTGTTTTACTGGCAAGTCCTCAGAAAATAATGGTTTGGGAATGAGCTGGTCATTGTCATTTCCTGTGCAAGATCAGCTCTAAATTTTGGAAGCACATACCAAAGATTCACTTAGATAAAATCGTTCTGATGATAGATTTTTAAAATATGTAACATGCAGCTCACCACTCCAATCCAGTCACAAAGCCCGACTGATTCTACCTTTGTAGTGTCTCTGGATTCCAACCATTTCTCTACATCCCTACGGATTCTATTTTAGAAAGGGTACTTACTTCTTTACCTGAATTACGTCAACAGTCCGTAAGCAGGTGTTTTTTGGGCCCTTTAATCCTTTTCTTCAATTCTGCCACAACTATTTCTATAAAATATAAATCTAATTGTGTTGCTTCCTAGCTGAGACTTCTTCAAAGGCATTCCATACTTGTCTGATCAAGTTCAGGTGTCTTAGGAGGGTGTACGAGTCTCTTTCTGACCTGGCCTCAACTTGCCTCTTGAGGCCATTTCTCACCATCCTTCGCCAGCATCAGACGAGCTGTGATACTCAGTGATGCACGGTTTCTCAGGCGCCACTCATTCCCCCTCGTCCAGGGGCCTGCACCGGCTCTGTGTTTACCTGGCTAACATCACCTCTGTTCACTCTCGGCACAGCATCACCTCTTCCAGAAAGCCTCCCCTGACCTTCTCTGTAGGACAAGGGCAATCAGAAAGGAGTGGGGGAAGTACACTGCTGTTTGGGGCTTAATCTTTTCGTTATTCTCTTGTGGCATATGAGTGAGTAGTAGCCCAGGGGAATAGCCAGATGCTGAGATTGTGGCTCGTTACCAATCAGTATGAAAGTAAGTTCAATCATGTAAGAACCCAGCTGGCCCTCCTGGTGCAGATCAGCTAGTTCAGTCCTGCCCCTGGCCCTCCCGTTGCATCCCGTGCATCCTGTGAGTGTAGGTGGCTAGTTCGTTAAGGAAGGGAATAAATGGAATCGCACACTAAGCCTGATTCACTAGGGAGACGAGTCAGACATTAAGCCTGACTTACTAGGAAGCCACAGCACCGACAGGGTCCCCAGGGGCCAGCTGCATCCTCTGCTTGAGGGGACTGAATCCCCAGAGTGGGCAGGAAGAAGTGGCTATCAGTCATTAGCCGGGATGGCTGAGTGAGGAGTAAAAACATCAGGGGAAATGCCTTTGCTAGGCACAAGCACAGTAGAAGCCAAGATGGTGCAGGGGAGGTAAGCGCATGCGTAGTATAAACCAAGATGATGCAGCAAGACTTTGGGGACACACAGTAGGAGCCAAAATGGTAACATAAAGGGGCAAAGTCTAGCATGGAAAACCTGGGGAAAAGACTGAGTTGGATAGAGGGAGGACCCAGCATAAGCCCGCTAAGAGCCAGGGGAGAGACGGGTTAGTTTGAAAGAAATTCTGCTCTCTCCCAAGCCCCAGGGAATATACATTTGCTCGTTCACCCGTTGGTTCCAGTGTTCTCTCTCTGTACCAGTTGCGGCCCAAGTGCAGTCTTGGCAGTGGCTGTGCAGATAGGGCAATGAGACAGAGAAGTTCTGCACCTCTGGGCCGTGGTCCTCCTGGGCTGGGTGAGGACAAGTGTGAGTATACGGCCCCAGAGACTGGACTTACTCGGCAGTGGGATGGAGCTGAACCATTTGGTCCTGGATGAGATACCAGGCACCTGGGGACAGTCTGTTATTGCTCCAATAAATCTTACTGTTACACCTCATCCTCCTCGAGGGGGGGGGGGGGGCTCAAAATGCTTTTCTCGTGACTCCGTGGAAGAACCCTCTTTCCACCGGCAACAAAATCTCTTGAGACTATGGAAACATCCTGTTTCTCATCCTCTCACCCACCAGTTTTAGCATCCAATCCACTGATGAGTCTTACTTAAAACAATCTTTACCACAATTATCATCAAATAACAATAGAGTAGTTCCTCTCCTCCCCCCATATCAGAGAGAAGTTTTGCTTGCTGAGGTTTAAATTACCCATGGCCAACCACAGTCTGAAAATATTAAATCGAAAATTCCAGAAAGAAACAATTCATAAGTTTTAAATTGTACTCTGTTCTGAGTAGCCTAATGAAATCTGTTGCCATTCCCCTACGTTCTGCCCAGGACATGAATTATCCTTTTGTCCATCATATCCACCTCACTTCATCTCATCACGAAGGCATTGTATCATCTCACATTATCATAAGAAGGGTGAGTATAGTACAATAAGATATTTAGAGAGAGAGAAAGACCACATTCACATAACTGTTATTACAAACTATTTTATTGTAGTTATTGTTATTAATCTCTTATTGTGCCTAATTTAGAAGTTAAACTTTATATATGTATATGTAAACCTCCTATATGTATAGAAAAAAAACATAGTGCATATAGGGTTCAGTATTATCGATGGCTCAGGCATCCACTAGGAGGTACAGGGGACAACTGTATTCTAATTTCATCATTCCTTCTATAGCAAGAAAGAGACTTTTAGGATTTACTCTTCAAACAAACTAGGAGTAGGTTATCCTTAATTACCATGGACCTGCACACAGTCCCAGCAAATCTGGCAAACTCCTAACAGAGTACAGATCTCATTTGTGAGGTCTGACAAAACTTCCACCCAAATTGAAACAGCTTATATTGCACCCTCAACTAGAATTTACAAAGTAAACATATGGCTGGCTACAACTGCCTACACACCAGAAAAAAACCAAAACACTGAGTGCTTTTCTTTTAAATCAAAATCTCAGTAGAATAAAAAAAATTTTTTTCAGTAGACTTAGTCTGTTTAAATGTTTTCCCTTTAAGAAATCAATCAGACAATACAATTTCGAGAACCTAGAACAAATAAACTTTATTGCACTTGCAAATGTTAAGTGGCAATCAACAAAAACTCAATTCCCTTCAATTTGGCTCTAGCTACCAGCTCAGAATTTGTAGTATCTGAACAACACCCGCTGGAGAACATTCTCTAAGTCCTCTCCCAATTGCCTGGCCTCTACCATAAACAAGTAACTATATTGTGGGAACCATATAAATCTATTTTTTTGTTTTATTATATTTTACAGTTAAGATTATACACTGCAGAACAAATAGCTGACTGTGAAATCGATTTGTAGCTAGGACTATCCAGTATGACATTTTTGACTCTGTGGATTTAAATTTCCTGCAATATTTTCCATGTGAATTATATATGCAAATTCCTTGAGAATTTGGTAATGTAATTAAGCTAGTAAGACTCGTAGTAAAATAAAAGTGCAGGGTTCAAGGAGAAGCTGGGGAGACAGGGTTTGGTTTAGCCAGGCTTCCTAATCTCTAAGCAGTCAAATTCTGGACCCCTGTAGCTGATGCCTTGTTGGTGAGTCATGAGAGAAGGGAAAATAATTTGAAAGGTAAGGAGAAGTTACATAAAGTTATGCACTGAAAATCTGAAGACCCAATTTGGAGGGGTTTTTTTAAGTCTTTACTGTTGAAAGTATTACATATGTCCCCCCCACCTCCACTGGCCTCTTTTAGGCCTTCACCACCCTATTGTCTGTCCATGGGTTATGCATATATGCCTACAAGCTCTTTGTTTGATCTCTTCCCACCCACCCACCCACTCACCCACCCACCCACCCACCCACCCTCCCCCGCCTTCCCTCTGAAGTTAGACAGTCTGTCCCATGCTTCTATGTCTTTGGATCTATTTTGTTCAACAGTTCATCCAATTGGGAGTTTTTTTTTGTGCAGTAGAAAGAGGTTTTAAGTTGGTAGATGAGTTGGGGG